CCCGCCGCGCTTTTGCAGGATCATTCAAAGCAAGGAGCGGGACCAGCTGGTCATCCTCCTCCAGTCGGCCACCGGTCCGGCTGCCAGCCTCCCGGCCGGGGCATACACCCTTGTCATGGACTTCATGGCTCCCCTGGCCGACGATATGGCCGGATACTATCGCAGCGGGTATCACCCCTTCGGCGGTGCCGGTGGCGGCGATGGCGGCAGCGCCAACACCAACGACATCTCCTCCGACAGTCGGCCCGAGCAGGAGTGGCTGGCGGTCACGCAGTTTGAGCCGACCGACGCGCGCAAGGCCTTCCCCTGCCTCGATGAGCCGGCGCACAAGGCAGCCTTCTCCGTGCGGCTGATCAATGTGCCTGGCACGCATGTCGGCCTGAGCAACATGCCAGTCGACCGGGAGGAGCCCGCGTCGACCGGGAACCTGCTCCCGGGGTTCTCCTTCGCCGGGGAACTTCCCGGGCTCGCGTCTCCCGAGCCGGATGCCCGTACCCTGGTCTTTGGCCAGTCTCCCCGGATGAGCACCTACCTGATGGCCTTCGCCGTGGGGCGCCTCGACTGCGAGGAGCGCCAGCTGGCGGACCTCGGCCCGGCCGGGGGCCCGCTCGTGGTGCGGGTGTGCTCGCGGCCGATCGGCCCCGCTGGGCCGGCCTTCCGCGCTCCGGTCCTCGACACGGCCGAGCACATCATCCCCCAGTTGACTCGGCTCTTTGGCCAGCGGTACCACCTGCCGAAGTTGGACATCCTGGCCGTGCCGGACTTCTCGGCCGGCGCCATGGAGAACTGGGGCCTGATGACCTTCCGCGAGGCGTATATCCTGGTGGACCCGGTCCGGGCCACGGTGGCCCAGCGCCAGCGCGCGGCCGAGGTTTTGGCCCACGAGATCGTGCACCAGTGGTTCGGCAATTTGGCCACTCCTGCTTGGTGGGGCGACCTGTGGCTGAGTGAGAGCCCGGCGACCTTCTTCTCGGCGTGGAGCTTCGGCGCTGCCGGGACCACCCCGGCCCCTGGCTGGCTGCTGGACGGCTCGGACGCTGGGTTGTATGCAGCGCACGCGTGGCCAGCTCTGGAGGCCGATGCCCGGCCATCCACTCGGGCCATGGCCGCGCCCAAGACCGCGACTACTCCGGAAATCCAGCAGTTGTTTGACAGTATCACCTACGAGAAGGGGGCCACTGTCCTTCGGATGCTGCAGGTCACCATGGATGCCCTGCTTGATGACGATTCCCGCGAGGAACAGGGTGAGACGATTCACCGTCGACGTGTGACTCGCCGTCGTCGTGCGCTTGATGAGGTTTCGGATGGGGTGGAGATTTCGGCCTCTGGCTCGGCTCCGGCCTCTGGCTCGGCTCCGGCTTCTGGTTCCGCTCCGGCTTCTGGCTCGGCTCCGGCTTCTGACTCGGCTCCGGCTTCTGGCTCGGCTCCGGCTTCCGGCTCGGCTCCGGCTTCTGGCTCGGCTCCGGCCTCCGATTCAGGGTCTGCCTCTGCCTCTGCCTCCGCTTCCGCTTCCGCTTCGACCTCCGCCTCAGCTCCATCCACTTCCGGCTCATCCTCGGCCTCCACCTCGGCTCCTGCCTCAAGCTCTAGCTCGGCTTCCTCCTCGGCGTCGGCCTCCTCCTCGGCCTCCTCCTCGGCCTCCTCTTCGTCGTCTTCTTCCTCTTCAACTTCAGCCTCCTCCTCCTCAACTTCGTCCTCAGCCTCTGCGTCATCCCACGATGAGGAGTCCTCCCACTCTTCGTCTCATGATGGCTCTTCGTCTCATGATGACTCTTCGTCTCTTGACGACTCCAGCGATGACAGCGACGACAGCGGCGACGACTCGAATGCCCTCCCTCCTCTCCCGGGCACCGAGGACACCCCCTTCGTGAGTGGCATTCGCCGGTACTTGGCGGACTTCGCCTTTGGCAATGCTTCCGGCGCGGACTTCATCGCGGCCATGACCGCCGATGCGGGCATCCATGCACCGGTCCTCAGCTCCCTACTTCAGTCGTGGACCCAGCAGGCGGGCTTCCCCCTGTTGACGGTTTCCCGCGCCTCTGACTCCAGTGGCACTTGGAATGTTCAGCAAGAGCGCTTCTTCTCCCCGAAGCCGGAGCAGCCCGGGAAGGCCCCCACCGAGCCGGCTTCCCTCTGGCCCATCCCGATGACCGTGTATGCGGCCGCGACTGGGGCCCCTGCCGGCACGCCGGTCCACAAGTCCGATCTCTTCTTCCTGCCGGCCGACAGCGCCCCGGTCAACCTCAGCGAAGTGGCAGCCTCTTCCGCCACCGGGTCGCCGCCGTTGCCCGCCCAGGGCGCCGAGTGGTTTGTGCTGAATGGCCGCCGTGCGGCGCCGGTGCGCGTGCACTACGCCGAGCCGGGGTTCCTCCAGCGCATCGGCGCGGCCCTGGCTGCGTCCAGCCCGCAGGGCGTGGATTTGCTGCCGGCCGTCGACCGGGCCGGGCTGGTGTCCGATGGCATGGCTCTGCTGTTGGCCGAGGTGGCTGACCCGGTCGAGGTGCTGGATTTCCTGGACACCTATGCCTGCCATGAGGGGGCCCTGGAGCCGGTGGAGCAGCTCCTCAGCTACCTGGCGCGGCTGCGGGATGGCTTTTCGCCGGAGGCCCACCCGGCCGCGGATGATGCGATGCGCGCCTTCCAGACATCGCTCGTTCGTGCGCTGCTGGAGCGCCATCAATTTGTCGCGCGCCTGGAGGCCGATGTCCGGGCACTGGCCGAGCGACTGGACGCCGGGGCCGATGAGGGGATCTTCTCGGTGGCGGTGGCCGCCGACACCGGCGCCGGATCTGGCCAGGAGACCGATGGCCCGGCGGCGGCCGACGCCGCGCGCCAGGCCCTCCTGTATGGCTTGGTTTTGCGCCAGGCCGTGCGCCTTGGCCTGCCCGAGGTGACCGGTCCCGCGGTTGACCTCTTTGACCTGATGGCCGGAACGGCGGCGGCCGCTGACCCGGCGGCTTTGGCGGCCGCCGACCCGCAAAGCATGGCCGTTGCCCTGGGTGCCGGGGCGTCTGCCTCCGATGCCGCCGACGATCCCCGGCTGGACTGGCTTTTCGATCGGTTCGTCAGCCCGCGGACTCTGCCGATCGAGCAGGATCTCCTGCTCGATGCCCTGGTCATGGTCCGCAGCCAGGGGCAGATCCAGCGGGTGCTGGATTTCGCGGTGTCCGGCCGCGTTCGCGACCAGGACTCCTGGCGCATGGTGGCTCGCCTGGCGCGCGGGTCGCGCCTGGCCGGCACCGAGTGCTGGCGCCATTGGCTGGACCAGCGGGACTACTACACCCGTGGGTCGGGGCTTGGCGGTGTCGGGTCTCTGGTGCACAATATCCTGGTGTCCCTGCCTCCGACCGAGGCCAGCCTCGAGGAGGCCACCCAGCACTTTGCTCAGCAGCCGGTTCCGGGGGCGGATGCCTCGGTGGCCGCCGCGCTGGAGGCCCTCCGCCAGCGGGTGGCCTGGGCTGCCGGCTCAACGGCCGACCGGGCTGCCGAGTGGCTCGCCCGTGTGGCCGTTGTCGCCAGCGAGCCGGACCTCGAGGGAATCGCCGACATGGGGATCTACTCGCCGGCGGCCGCACGGCGCACTGTCCCTGCCACTGAGGGCGGCGGCCATGGCCAACGCCTGGACTCGACTCTTGGGCCGTGGCTGGCGTGCCTTGAGCGCCCGGCCGTGGTGGCCGGCTTTTGAGGAAGGCTCTCGGCCGCGGGCCAGGCGGAGGAGGGGGACCGAGGGGGGGGGGGGGGGGGGGGCTGCACGATGTGCGCCGGCTTCCCGCCGCCGCATCCCCCTTCGGGTCTTCTTATTTGGTCCTCCCGTCCAGGCACATGCATCTGCGTAGCCTCCCCCCCCCCCACACACAATCATGCGCACGCCTGCACATGGCAGGCTCGTCTGGCTGTACACTACTTACCCCGGAAAGAGGAGCTTCAACTTCCCCACATGGATGATGCAGGAGGAATAGCTGGTCTTTTTTTTTGTCCGCCTCCCAAAGAGGCGGCACTCGCGGGCCGGGGTGCGCGAGGAAGGAGCCGAGCATGCGACCTCGTCAGTTTTCCTCCGCGACCCAGCCTCTGCCGCACCTTCTCTTTCGCCCCTCTCTCCCGCCTCGGTGGGAGAAAATATACCCCCCTCTCTTTGATCCGAGGTGGCTTTGTTCTGGAGTTAGCACACCAGATCGACATATCACGCAGTGCATCAAAAAGGAAAATGTCGGGGCGTGATCAGGAATGTTTTCATCGCCCATTTCGCCGCGGGGGGGACGGTTGGCCCGACCGGCGAGGGCCCTCACACAACACACCTCGCTCTCTCTCTCTCTCTCTCTCGCTCTCTCTCTCTCTCTCTCTCTCTCTCTCTCTCTCTCTCTCTCTCTCTCTCTTTGTCTCTCTGTCAACAGGGGCGGAAGGGGGCGGGGGAACAAGAGGCTGGCAACACCCGGCATCGGCACCGGCGGTGGTGGCCAAGGGCCGAGTTCCTCCATCTAGGAGTGTCCCTTGGATCAAGTGAGCATGCGAAAAATGCTCGTCTCTGGTCCTCTTGTATTATTGCTTCCTTTCATGCTGCAGATGACTGCCCAAATCTTTGGGAGGACTGTCCTGGCCCGGGGGCAGACGGGAATCGGACTTGCGTTCGGCCCCCCCCCAACCCCCCGACACTTGCATAGGCACAAACGCGCGCGTGCAGATCGCGCTTCCGCCAAGACCTGGAGTCAGTTGGCACACCCAGCTCGTGCGCCGGACGACTTGCTCTCTTGTGGCTTGGATGCCGGAGCCTGCTGGATTCAATCGATCCCCCCCCCCCCCCCCCCCACTGGGAAGTTCGCGTTCACGCTTCGCACATGCGCACCGAGCAGGCAGTTGCCGGGGGGGGGGAGGGTCTGGGCGCGGAGATGGTCCCCGGGGAGGGGGCGGTGGGCGAGGGGTGTATGCAAGCGCACCCGGCCGGGAAGCAAAGTGCCCGAGGCAGCGGGCAGGTTGATCTCACAGGCGCGCCCCCACAGCCCTCCCCCCTCCCAGCCCGCGGAAACAATTCAAAACTGACAGCGCTTGAGCCCCGGGGCGCAAATGTGCCTTATCTTCACCCCTCTCCCTACCCCTCCCCGCCCTTTATAACCCTTTCCACCCCCTCTTCTTCTTTCTTCTGTTCTATCTTTTTCTTCTCTTTTCTCATCTTCATCTTTTCTTTCATTAACTCGTTGTCGCTCACATTATGCTTCTTTCTGTCGTTATCCTATCCGCGCATAGATTTCTAATCTTCCCCTCGCTTTTTCGTTTGACTCCGCGCTTGCCTGTCCTTTTCCCCCCCTCCCTCGCGTATGATTCGCCTCCCTGCCGGTCTCCTTGTCCTTGTCCCCCCCCCCCTCTCTCTCTCTCTCTCTCTCTCTTCCCTCCCCCCGCCCCACACACACGGCCACACGGTTCCTGACTCTCTTTCCGCTCGTCTGCCATTTTCCCTCCCCGCAACGAACCCCCCCCCCCCCTCCCCCTCACAGCACCGGTGTGGCGGGACTGCGTTTTCTCTTCCCGCCTGCTGAGCAACTTGACGGGCGGAATCCCTTTTCGCCGTCGGCACTGGCCGACCACGCGCCGGAGTTCGCCCGGCCCTACGTTGAGCATGGCCTGCGTGATGGCCAGTGCGTGCACTCTTCGCCCTACCTCGACCCCGGGGCAGCTGACCCCGCTCTGCTGCTGTCCATCCCGTGCTCCCCCTCTCGCCCCTCTATCTCCTCCTCGCCCTCCTCCTACTTCTCCCTCCGGGCTTTCTCTTGACTCACCGCTTTCTTTCCGCCCCAACCCCCTGGCAGTGCCTTCACCGAGCTGATTGTCTCTTGTCGGATCTTCTCTGGCGGCTCGCAGCTTGTCCTCCCTGGCAATGTGGTCCTTCGCCGGCTCCCGGACATGCCCCGCCGGGGGCCTGCGTCCTCGGCGGACACGACTCCCGGAGCCAGCGCCAGTGCCTCGGCCACCAGCAGCGCCGGCGCCAATGACGACCCGCTGGACCTGATCCTCCAGCGCATCGAGGGCGTGCGCGCCGGGACGACCACCAGCTCGGCCTCCACTCCGGCCCCGCAGCCCGACGGCCCGATGCCCACGGACCAGCTCCACTCCTCCTCGGTGTCGGCCCTGTTGCCGGATCACAGCCTCATCGGACGTTGGGTGGGCGACGGGTGGGTAACCTTCCCGGTCCGGGTGTGTGACTTGCCGGCCGACGCGCTGTTGTGCCTGACGCTCTATGATCGCCTGGAGCCCCGGCACTTGCGGGTCCTCGGTGGGACGACACTGCGCCTGTTCGAGCCGATCCCCCTGCCCTCGGTCCTCACTCGCTTGCCGGCCGGCGAGGGGCGCTTCTCCCTGCGGGAAATGGGGGGTTCCCCCCCGGCCGCCTCGGACGACCTGGACGGGTCGCTTCGTGGCCCGACCGGGGCCCCCATCATTCCGGGCATCGCGCCGATCGATGAAAGCATCGACTTTGATGTGCTCCGCCGGCTGGGCTTTTCCGTGTCGGGCGACGGGGAGTATACCCTGCAGCAGTTGCAGTTTACCTTCCCTCCGGGGAGCCAGGCACCACGCAACTCGGTGGCCGTGCCCCGTGCGGATGCCGGGAATTTTTTGCCCTCCGGCTCGCGCGTCAATCGCCTGCTCCAGGGCCTCCGGTCGTGCGTCCTCTGGCCTGGACGCGAGGCGGACGGCTCGATTGTTCCGGGCACTCCGCACTTTGGGCCCCGAGTGGCCAACGAGGCCGAGGAGGCCAAGCGCGCTGCCGCCCTGGCCCAGAGTCGCGGCAACCGGGGCCCCTCATCGGCCCCGGGTGCCGGTGGCCCGGGCGCTCCGGCCGTCTCGACCGCCATGCGTGACTCGCTGACTGCTCTGCAAACTTGCGTGTCCTTGTGCGACATGTACGAGCGCGCGCAGGAGGGCCAGTCCTTCAGCTGGCTGAACGGTCGCTCGCGTATGGAGCTCGAGCGCTTGATCGCCCACCAAATCGAAAACCTTGGTGCCAGTGTCATTCACGTGTGCCTGCAGCGCTTCGAGCAGACAATCCTGCACGACTCCTTTGTATGTTATTCCCCCCCTCCCCAAGTGAAGGGACATTTTTCTGGCAGGCGAGGGGGCGGCGGGCGGAGGCCCGGCGGGAGCAGGGGCCAGCCGGCCAAAACCCGGCCGGCCCTCGGCCTTTCTTTCCTTCCTGCCTGTTCTGACATTGTTCCCGGCTTTCCCTCGTCCTCTCGTCGTCCCTCTGGTCCAGGTCGATCTCAAGGCCTCCGTCACGGGTGACATCAAGCCGCAGGTGATCTTCCGGCGGGAGGAGCTGTCCGACCTGCCGCGCTTCACTGCCCAAATGTTTGATCCACAGATGAAGTTCCTGGCCATGACGGCTGCCATGGAGGGGCCCGGCGCCGGGGCCCTCGGCCTGGCGGGCAGTTTCCCCGCATCGGCCGGGCCCAGTGGCATGCGGCTGCACCTTGCGTCGAATCCCATCCAGCAGATGTTCAACGCTTTGAAGCAGACCATCCGCGACCCGGACCAAAACCTGTCCTTCATGTCGGCCGAAGCTCCGGACCCGCGTATGCGCACGCTCCTCGAGGTATCCTGCCCATGGGTCTCTCTCTCTCTCTCTCTCTCTCTCCTTCCTGCTGCTTCCTTTTCCTCTCACCGGCACTTCCATCCCGGTGCCCGGCCCTCGCTCACCTTCCCTCCCCCCC